CACTAAAATAAATATTACATAATGTTTTATATTGCACCAATAAATATTTAGCAATATACCTACTTTGAATTCATTTTTTGTTTTTCATTTTTAAATAAATACAACTTTTATGATAAATAAGTTTAAAATATTGAAAAATGTTATTTAACATATTGAGTAAGTAATGTGTATTTAACCACCAATCTTGAAAATGTTATAMATTTTTATTTTACAATAATGATTATCTGTATCATAGATAGATRATAGTGATAATKTTGACGAAGATCCGCTCAAAAAATTGAATTAGATGTTTRAATTTTAAATTCGTAACTGAATAATACATCATTCGAAAAACCAGCATATGTTTAAAAAAAAATTTTGAAATTATTTTCTTTTTCTTAAATTAACGAAATATATATATGTGTTAACATAACAACCACACTCGTGTAGTCATCTAGATCAATAAAAACAAATAAAGCAAATAGTTGCTCTTAACTCAGACTTGACCTAGGAGTTATGCTTCAGTAAATATCGATAGTAAGTGTTGATATACATACCTAGTTGAACAATTATTGTGGTGAGCCACACACAGACTGCCGACTGGTAAGTTATTTAGGTAGTAAGTATCCTTGGTAAAAATGCGAAAATCCCTTGAATGGTTTAAATTAAAAACCATGGTATATGTTAATGGGTGTCATTGTGTAACCTTCAGGAGAAATTTTAACAGATATCACTAGGTGATATTTGACCAAAATAATACCTATACCTGCTAACTATTGCCAATCTAAAATAGGTATTATAATATTATCTGTARKCTATACCTATAAGGTTATAAATATAATGTAATATAAAATAGAATTATATCTTCAAATGCAATATGCACATCATTAACCGTTATAAATATTTTCATTTATAATCTTGGTACCTAGTTAATTTATGTTAAAATAAGTAAAAATACGTTAAAAACGTTATATTAACTTTTAAAATACGAACATATTTTACAAATTTTGATTATTAATAGACAATAGGCATCAATATACTACATACGCACATTGAATTCTTCGATAATAGTAAAATATTATTACTCGTAATATTATTAATCTATATTTTTTACTGTATTGTATTTTCCATAATTATAGTATACAATCACCTATAATTAAATTATAAATTTTCATATATTATAAAAATAGTTAACTCTC